AAAAGTTCGTGAGAAACACGATGGTGCCACTGGTTTTCTCTGAAATCAACTCCCAAGGTCAAAAAAAGCTCTCAAGTTGAGGCCAAAGTGGAGGGGATATCCCACGCTATCCTGAGTGTCCACGTCTACATCAAGACAAACTCTTCATGCAAAGATAAGGAGCAAATACATTACCTGCAGGATTGCCACTTTAATTGGGGACTCTAAAATTGAAAACACGGCATTACTGCTGATGTATTTGCTCCCTATCTTTGCATGGAGAGTTTCTTTTGATGTAGAGGTGGACTCTGAGGGTAGGGCGGGATATCCCCTCCATTTTGGCCTCACTTTGAGAGCTTTTTTTGAGCTTGGGAGTTGATTTCAGAGAAAACCAGTGGCACCATCGTATTTCTCGAGAACGTTTACAAAAGAATCAACAGTCAAATCGCAAAATCCTCACACATGCAACATCTCCATTTAACGGGAAATCTGCAACGTCGCGAATCGAGATACGTTTTTTTCGGTTTTTATCATCGATAAGAGTAAGCTCCGCCGCCGCGAGCCTCTTGCGGGGAAGGTAGAAAATACCGTTAAGAAGAAATTGTTCCGAAGAACAAGGAGAAAGATTCATCAGGTACATATGCGGAAAGCGCGATGTTGACTCCGCCTCCTGAGGCAGGCAGATTTGACTTGCGGTGAAGCGTGCAAACCGGTTCTATTTTGATTTAACGCAAAATCTTGTTTCATCGAGTGAAGGCGTAAAATGCCGTGCAAGGGAAAAACGCTGTATGAACATTCAAATGTTGCAAAATTTCCCCCCGATAAAATGTATAATTCAGAGGAAACTATAGAACATTTTTACTTAAATGGACCGCACTTAGCTCCATGTGGAATGGAGATGTTGCATGTGTGAGGGATTTGCGATTTGACTGTTGTTTCTTATGTAAAAGTTCACGAGAAACATGATGGTGCCAATGGTTTTCTCTGAAATCAACTCCCAAGCTCAAAAAAAGCTCTCAAATTGAGGCTAAAATGGAGGGGATATCCCGCCCTACCCTGAGAGTCCACCTCTACATCAAAACGAACTCTCCATGCAAAGATAGGGAGCAAATACATTGACAGGGTTGCCGTGTTTTCAGTTTTGGAGTCCCGAAATGAAGTGGCAGCCCTGTCAATGTATTTGTTCCCTATCTTTGCATGAAGAGTTTGTCTTGATGTAGACGTGGACGCTCAGGATAGCGTGGGAAATCCCCTCATTTTGGCCTCAACTTAAGAGCTTTTTTTGGGCTTGGGAGTTGATTTCAGAGAAAAGCAGTGGCACCATCGTGTTTCTCGCGAATTTTTACAAAAGAATCAGTATACATAAAGTCAAATCGCAAATTCCTCACACATGCAACATCTCCATTGTTGATTTGCAATTTGTGTTAAGGTGTAGCATTTGAAGCACATCCACGATGTTGAAGGCGCTCTATACGCGCGCGCCGTGTATTGCCCGCGATGATTCGAATTCGCGCTGATGTCTAGTGTTCCCGAATTGTGTATACATCCGGCATTAAAATAGCTTGGATAAAATTGCTGAGTAAGAGCTTTGCTCATAATAATAGATATGACTGGATGAAAATTTAATAGCCAAGCACATCCTAGTGACTAACAGAACCAGGGCCGGATTTACTTACTTGCCGCCATGGGCCGCCTGAATTTTGCCGCCCCCCCCCCCTCATTCATTTTGAAACATCAATAAAAACCATCAAGTGAACGTGCCGGAGGGGGAGGGGTGCATTAGACGCGTTTACTCGTGTTGAACACATTTTTTGCGAAAGCCCTGTCAACACTACTGGCAAAAGTTCACGGAACTTGACGCGAAAGTTAAGTTCCGTAAACCTATCTCTGTGCGGACAAGGCCTTCCATTTGTATGAAATGAACGAAAAAATTATGAAAGAACAAACATAAATGTAGAGTTTAATAAGTGTAACTTCCGCCGCCGCGCCGCGCTGACTGCACTGTGTTTGGCGCAATGCGTGAAGTATTCTTACAGTCTTGTATGCGCTATGCGTTTCACGCCGACGAACGCTGCTGCACGGCGCGGCGTCCACGCACTGTGTAAGACGCAATGCGTGAAGTATTCATGTAGTCTTGTAGGCGCTATGAGTTTCACGCCGCGCCGACCACTGCTGACCGCGCTGTCTTTGACGCAATGCGTGAAGTATTCATGCAGTCTCGTAGGCGCTAATATGTATTACATACCGACCGCCGCGTCGAGGGTTTCTCCTTTTCATCTCAAGTTCTCGTCATCATTTCTCTCTGCGCCGCGCCGTTCTAGGCCTAATTCCGTGTTCGGTTTCTCTCTTAGTTTTAACTCGACTAATTAAAGGTGCCGTCTTATCACAGAAAGACGACAAAATTAGAGATATACTCTCAGGAAATGAGAGATTTGGTCACCTTTTCTCGTTTGTAATTTTTTTTTTCTGAATCCGATTTTTAAAAAAATTGCAAAATTTGCCGCCCCCTAAATTTACCATGTGGCCACCCCCTAAATCCGACCCTGAACAGAACTTTAAGGAATTAAACATATCAGAAGTGCATACTTTTTGCTGAAAACTCTGTACGTGCTTTGATTTTCAATATAATTTATGAATTACTCCATGCAGAATGCAGATTGATTGCTGCATATATACGCGCTGATTTTTACGTTAGAATCACTTTGACCACGCTGTTTTTTAAGCTAATTGCCTCGACCAATCAAATTTTTTCTGAGGAAACTACTCCGACCTTGCTGGGTAATATAGCGTTGGAAAAATGCGTGTTTTGTTGATAAAAGAATGAACTAAGAACTTTCGCACCCGAGTTGCCCATGCTGACGACTCTGATTGCTTATTTCTGATCGGGATACCTGGAAGTTCCAGAACTGCAGCTTTAAATAATTCGCGACTACCAGGGCTTTTTACATAAAATTCTAGGAATAAGAATGTGCTATTTTCGTTGTGGACGGGGATGGACTCTCCTAATTTCCGCTTTATAGGCATCTACGAAAAATTAACACTTTGTCGTGTCTTGCAGACACAGTTATGATGAAACATTTGTTACCATTTTTCGAGCGATAACTATGCAAAAGCAATTGTCGTGTGAGATTGCATCCTCACCTTTTTCAAGGCGATTTTGAACGCTTGTTACATCTCATTCAGCAAAGTTTAGTATCATATGTGCGTTTTACTACTGGGCCTCAGGCCTCACGGCCCTTTTTGTGCCTCAACATTTTGTGTGGAAATTCACGGGATCAAAACAGCATGGAGCATGTGTTAATAACTTAATTCCCGAGTGCGGTCACGTAACTACCTTTACACTGCCGTGCTAAGGAAGAACGCCGTATGAGCCTTTTGACGTTGCCAAGTTTCCTTCGATGAAAACCGAAATTACTGGGAAATTTGTGAATATTTTTGTCCAAAATTTTCAGACAATTTTGTACACAATTTGATCTAAAATATCTGAAAATTTCAAGGAAAAATACGCAAATCTTTCCTAAAAATACATGTTTCATCCGGCGAAATTTGGCTACTCTCGAATGTTCATACGGCGTTTTTCCTTAGCACGGCAGTACAGACCTGACTTGCTTCATAATTTATTCAATTCTTTTTCTCTTGCAGTTTTACCGGTTGTCAAACGTTTGTCTACAATTCTGTTGGTTTTTCCTTTAAACACGTTGAAGGAACCTCGAAGCATGCATCTCAAAGCCGAAGAGAAAGAAGAAGAAGAAGAAGAAGAAGAAGAAGAAGAAATTCGGCGAGCGACTAATAAAGTTGAAACATACACCAAACGTTGATTGTTCTTTTAAAACTTTTTTTAAGTATCAATACTGGGGCTCTCCTCAAAAATCGAATTTTTTGCTTCGCGATGGAATATTATACTTGAATGAAGGCAAAGCCATGTCCTCACTTCTGAATTTTCAACGTGCCCTAGTTTTTGTTTGTTTACTTATTTTTGTACACCCCCCCTCCTCTCTCCCCCGAGCATAAAGACCAATAGAGGAAGTTAAGCAGAGATCAAGTACTTAGATCTAGACGCGTGACGCGAATAATAAAGTTGAGAAATCAAGGGTAGAGCATGTCGTTTCTGGAAAGCAAGTAGAAAAGTTTGCGAACATAAACTCGATCCAGCTTGAATAAGAAAATGACAACATTAAAAGCGATCGTAATCCACCGAAATTAGATAGGAGAAACACCGAGATAAATGCAAATAATAAGAATGAGGAAATTTTTCTGCAACGTAATACGGTCGTGCTGCGGAAAAACGGGGTATGAGCATTCGAGTATTGACAAATTTCCTTTCAGAAAACATGTAATTTTTGAGAGAACTACGTATATTTTCTCTTGAAATTTTCGAGTGTTTTAGATCGAAATATGAGTGAAATACTGTGGAAAGTCGGAAGAAAAATATACAGAATTTTTTCAAAATATTCGTGATTTGTAGAAGGAGTTCTGGCAACGTCTCAAGGCTCACATGGCGTTCTTCCTTAGCACGGCAGAATAGAACTGAACTTCGAAATAATGAATGTCAATCTCTTACCACGGATAAAAATAGATCAAAGAGAGAGCGAGAGAAGTGCGGTGAATCTTCGTTTGGCGACTTGTTGATTCCTGACAAGGTAAGGAATATGGGAGGAAGTGAACGAAAAACAAAAAAGGGCAAAATTATGATGACACAGAAAATAATCCGCCGGGAACGAATAGAGGAGGAGAGAGAAAGAGAGAGATTTTGACTTTATTGACCGAAGTGGAGAGACACGGCAATCGGCAATTGAGGCACAACAACCTAGAATTAAAAATAAAAAAAGTGACGGTCGCGCCAGACTTATCAAGAAGATAAGTAAAACCGAGTAGAGTTTTTCAACGTCGGAGCGGGTGGTCGCGCAGTCTCCGGGATTAAAGGAAGCGAGCTGAAAGAAAGAAATGAGAAAAATGGGCATGAGTCAAGCACTCGAGAGACAAATTGCGTGAATGATAGGTTTGTATGTACTCTGATTTACCGTTGCTTCAGAGACGTATCCATCCCCCAGACCGCCTGCGTGGGTGGAAAAGCAACTTGTGGGAGGGTGATGATAACAGATCTGCCACTCCAACGGATGATGCCGCCCGCAGCGAGTCGAGTATGAAAACACACAGTTAAAGTATTACCTACGCACAAAGTTTTGTTTGAAATAGAGATACCCGATTTTAATTCGATAAAATTAAGGATGCACTAAAAATTATCACGGAAATAGCTGTAATGATTATTCACGAGGTGTTACTGGAAATATGGCGCGAGTGTCACGCACGGCACGACGCACGAGATAACGAAATCACAATCGGAAAACGATTTATAAAAGGCAGAGCTTAAATTCAGAGAAATTCCGCGAATATCATCTTCCACTTTAAACAAATGTGAGAGCTGCAAAATTAAGAAACAAACTTGCGGATAAACTTGCGGTCGAAAGCTCAACTGACAGTTCAAGCGTTGTCTAACCTGCTTGTTGATGCTGCTGATAAGGAATAAATCAAAACAAAACACTTCAGCACATGTTTCACTATCAATCTGGGGGGATTTATCCACTGTAAACTCACAAAAATTTCGCTCTGTCAAAGTCGTACAGATTATAAGTTATGATTTCCTGGTAAAATAAATAAAAGTTGAAGCGAGACACTGACAATTCGTGCGTCTTTCAGTCGGGCAGACGGAAACTGAATTTTTTGAGAGTGCACGGTGACTGTTGCTTCTCCGAACGGTTATCACCGACGAACGTTGTTCTATGATGATATCATATCATAATCACAACAAAAGAAAAGGAACACCAATGGAGTTCGGAGTTTTCTTCCTGAAAATCGTGGGAACAGTGTGATGTGTTTTTGTTACGAACGTATATTTTTCGTTCGACTAAGTTATTGCTTCCATCGTCTTTGAGATGTAATCCCCACGAAGTTGTGAGTTTTTAACTGACATCCCAGAAGTTTTCGGGTACATTGATGTCAAGGTTACATCAGTGAGATGGTCTCTGCCTCTAAATCCATTTACAACAGTAAATTTCTGCTTAAACACTTAACAATGATAATCTTTATACCGTTTACTCGCTCTTAATAAAATTGCTGCTCGGCATTTTGTGAAGCCCTTGTTAGTGTCCTTTGAAGATCATTGCGTTGTCTGTGTCTGAGTCTCAGTTGTCTCTTATCATCAGGAGTGCTTCTAGACTTTGATCATTTCTGTATCTCATCAGTAAAGTACCCTGTATTTTACTAATTCACGTACCCATGTTTGGAAGAATAGTTTTCTTTCTTATGGAAGAGTCCTAGGATTGTTTGTCTGGATGTCGTAGGACCAAAATGGACAGCAACCTGTCCAACAGCGCTAGAAAATTCAACAGAACCATGGATGGTGAAAGGTCAGTATAATCAAGCTTTTCTCTCTTAATAGGGAGCTTTGAGTGAATGGATTTGATGGGGTTGGTCGGAATTGATCTAAGTTTCGGCCTTAGAATGATGATTTTATCAGTACACAAGATGTGAGCAGTTCTTCGCTCCAATAAGTTATGTCTCGCCCTTAGTGGTCGTAAGCTATTACATAGTTGTAGAATCTTAAAATGTAGCCAAAATTGTCTATTTTGATGAGACCTGACATTAAATGTCCGAATTTTAATATTCATATGTACGCGGAAGGAATGAAGAGGGGCATCTAAACTTCGCCCTCCTACCGTCCAGTCTCACCCTGTCCCCGAAAAAATTAAGTGAATGAACCATGTATCGTTGAAAAAATACAGTTGGAAAAATTAAAGGAGCCAAGAAAGGAAATAAACAATTTGTCTCTTGGACACCTGATTGATGTAACTACATTCGGTGATAAGCGCAGTCTCCGTTCCACCTGTCGAATGATATATGATATGTTGCTGAATGATACGAAAGCCTCTATATAGCATTATTTATATCCACAAGTAACATGGTAGCAGTATTTCAGTGATGTTTCTGCAAGCTTTTCAACAACCTTCGTCGGGCAGGATAGTATTTAAACGATTAAAGTGAAGATTGAGTTTTGCATTTTTATCATGACAGTGTGGAATTAAATTTGACCAAAATATTATGTCAGATTAACTCCCATATTTACAGCAAAAATAGTATGTTATCATCATTACTTCTGAAAGTTCCGAGTCTTTTTCAGGTTGATTCACATCTATCTTTGGCTTAATTTTCTCGAAGGAGAAGGTGCTTTTTTTTTATTAACAAATTAGTACATTTTCACTTTGAATATATGGATATCTACAAAGCTTGGCGTTACTGTTATTTATAACTTAACTAATTTATAAATATTTTCAGCTGATTTTAATGTCTACTACCTCTAACATGTTGAGGAGAAAAGAAAGTACAAATTATTACTAGAGAAGGTGCTATCAATAGAGACCTATGTTTAGAATATAAGTGTCGGCAATGCCCAAGCATCTTGTCAGCCTCCTGTCGTGCATTGATTATAGCGCTGACTCTATGACCAGGAGGTCCTGCGTTCAATTCTTGGTCAGGCAACCTGAGTTTGATGATCTCAAACAACAGTTGCCTCGGGCTGGCTGTACATCAGGGAGCGAGGGGTATAGGACTCTAGCTGAAAGCTTAGAATTGCCCTTTGTGTGGTATTTGGAAGGGTATAAGTGAAAAAAAAAGAAAAATCTACATAAAGCTCAACCCTCAACTAGATCACATACTGTTATGCCTTTCAGACTCCCGAAAAGATTTTATCTTTAAGCTCTTTGTTCCAGATCTTCCAGTCCGCTGCTGCTGCGTTACGCCAGCCAGAACTCACTTGACGAGAGTTCGCAAAAGCAAATTCCACGTAATGGCTCCAAGGATAAGCCTCCCTACATGAGTCGAGATCATACTCAAAAAGCTTTTGAAGTGATGAATAACATGAGAAAGTAAGATTACATTTTTTAATGCTCTGTCATTATACTTAAAGTAAAACAATCCATGATTGATCCTTACTGCTGAAAGAAGGATGATTATTAGAGATTAGATGATATTTGTCCTCACTGATATCACGAAGACTCTAAACTTTTTACAGACAGAGAGGAGCAGCCAATAATTACAGTTCGGGACTTAAAAAGTAGATTTTTAAAGTCATCTTTAATGTGTTGAGAGCTCTAGAAAAAATTTATTTCTTCCTGGAATTGTTACCAATTTTCCACCAAGGAAAGCGATGGCTGCAAAGCAAACATAGCCTGATCTTTTATTTTCATCTTCATTTATGAATTTTAGAAGAGAAAAGCTTGTTTTTTATTATTTTACCTACTTTGTTTTTAACTTCTGACAAAAACTTATTGGTGAGAGTACCCTTGGTATACCCTCATCTTCCAGTGGAGAGACAGAAATCTCAGCATCAGGTATAAGATGTTATTTGTATTCTTGCCCTCACTGTCTCTATCGTTTGTTTTGCAGGCAAAATCTGTTGTGTGATGTGCGTCTTGTTGCGGATGATGTTGAAATTGATGCTCATAAGATGGTTTTAGCCTCATGTTCTCCATATTTTTATGCCATGTTCACCAGTTTTGAGGAGAGCAAACAAGATAGAATTGTATTGAAAGGCGTTGATCCTGTGGCGCTGCAAATCATTGTCGACTATATTTATTTAGCAGAAGTTTTAGTCACTGAAGAAAATGTGCAAGTGAGTTCTTCAGATTTCAAATTCTTCCTACATCTTAGATCCAGCATCAATAGTCTCCTATTCTTTTACTCTCCAGGAAGTAAATCCTAGAATTTATTTTCATTCTGTCCCATGAGTACACTGATCATCAGGGTCACTTGGACCGCTTTGGCACCATCCGAGGCCAACATAAAAAACGGTCCACATGACCTTCTTGGCAATCAGTTCGCTAGTACGAGCCCTTGGTTTTGTAAAAAAGACCCAGCATCCATTAAATTATAGTATTTAATGGCATGGTTCAATTTTTTAAGATGTAAATTTTCAAAGAATTTCCCTAGAAACTTTTATATATAATGGAGCCTGAAGCCATTGTTCAGTGTTTTGAAGTATGGTACTGGTTTAAATCTTCGGGTCTGATCTAAGTGAGAAGAGACTACAGGTTATATGGATTGGATTGGATTTACCCATATAAGGAAAAACCAAAGTGTCTCTTTGAATATTTCTTAAAAAACTACTCAGGATCCCATCTTTCAAATTGCATCACTTATTTGACTACAAAATGGATTAATCATATTTATTAATTGTTTTGCTTCAATCTTTTCTTCTTTTGTAGATCTTGCTGCCAGCAGCGAATTTATTACAACTAACTGATGTACGAGATGCCTGTTGTGATTTTCTGCAAGGACAACTACACCCCACAAATTGCCTTGGTATTCGAGCTTTTGCTGACTTGCATGATTGCATAGACTTACTTTCCACATCGGAAACATTTATTGAGCAACATTTCATGTAAGTTTTTTGGAATCCCTTGCCTTTTTAATGTATACCTACCAGGAAATCAAACCGTTTATATTTTTTTTCCAAGTTGAATTTTCTTCCATTTTTGCTTGTAGTTTCCTACTGGTCAATTTTTTTTTTTTTTTCTTTTAAATCCTCGTACATTTTGCTTTAGCTGTCTAATAACGTTTTAATTAAAGGAAAAAATTATAATTTCTTTTTTATTTTTCAGGGAAGTTGTAGAGTGCGAGGAGTTTCTCTCATTGTCCCATCAGCAAGTTTCAAAATTGATAAGCAGTGATAGATTGACAGTTTCAAGTGAAGAAAAGGTAATTCTTCTAGCAAAGTATACATAGCTAATATGTTCAAACATTTTCCTGTCATCAAGTGTATTTTAAGCAAAAATTTGAAACTTTGCATTCCGAAATGTACATTTTTTCATTTTTTGACGCTGTCCATTTATATTTCTGACTCCAACCACTGGAAAGTTTGATCACATTAATAATCGAATATCCGTTATTTATTGAGTCTTTCAAACAGGTTGAAAATGGTTGAAATAAGTGTTTCTGTGAAGTTAAGTGCTTTAAACGATTACATTGGCTCTCTATTGGAATATTTACATATCTGCGACTATGTTTTATTTTGTTGACAATACAACGAACTGATATACCTCCTTGTAACTTTCTTTTAGTTTTTTTTTTAATGAGTTCAGAAAATTCACTGGAAAATAAAGAAAAAAAACTTTTTCTTTTTGTAAAGAAAAAAAACTTTTTCTTTTTGTAAAGAAAAAAAACTTTTTCTTTTTGTAAAGAAAAAATAATGTGTTATCTCTTTTGAGAATGTTATACATGAGCAAAGACTTCCAATGCCACAATGAGAGGTAGGCATCCTTCTACTTCAGAAACTAATCTTTGATTCTTTTGCTGTCACTCAGCCTCATCTTAAGGCACCCCTTCTCTGTAGACGAATTTGAAAAAAATGAATACATTTGTTCCTACCATTTTTCTCTTCATTTTATCAGGTATTTGAATGCGTCATGAATTGGGTAAACCACCAACTTGAAAATAGACAAAAGAATCTTGCAGAACTAATGGAGCACGTAAGGTTACCTCTCCTATCAAAGGATTACCTGAAGAGAGTGAAAGAAGAGCCATTGTTCAAAAACAGTTTACAATGTAAGTTCTTATAGACCTTCTCTGATACAATTAATTAAAATTTGATTTTTACGATAATTATTGTATTGGAAAAAAATATTCGAGGAAAAAGTGCTGAGTCTTAATGAAAAGAGACCAAAGTAATGAGCTTTGGGGAAGTCTTTGATTTTGAAATCAAAACATGATGTTTCCTTTTCCCTTCAGTTTTTCTTATTATTTGGTTTCAACAGTGTAACTGTGTCATGACTTCCAACGATGACACCATTAATAACTTCACTTACGATTTCATTTTTTCTCTATGGAGAAAATCATTCATTAATTCAATAAAATCGATGATAGGTCAGTGAAACACTGAAACTCCTGGGTGCCTGGAGATGGATTACATCACTCATGAATAATACATAAACTCCAGTGCTTGCTAAAGCAATGAATAATATTTTGTCTTCTTTAAGTTATCAGTATCCTTTTTTACAATGATAGTCATTCACATGTATGTTTTTTTCACCCATTTAGGTAAAGATTTTATCATCGAAGCACTGATGTACCATTTAGAAGGAGATGTGAAGACACCTAGAACTAAACCAAGGAAATCAATCGTCCTCCCAAAAGTAAATAAACTCCATATTACTGTACTCGAAGCCATCAAATTCATATGAAAGCTTTAAATTACAAAGATGCCATGTCATAAAATATTTATTAGCTCCACGAAGGCTGGTTTGAAAGTTTCTAAACTTACTCTAGAACTAGATATTAACATCATAATTATCAATATGAGCACTTCCTGTGATCAATCTAGGCCTTTTTTGCTATTTATGTATCTGCATCCTGCAGGCAATAGATATCATGAGAAAAATGGATCTGAAATATGTGTAATCAATTTTTTGGAGAATCGAACTGGAGTGATTTCTCTCAGAAGGTTGTGAGATTACTGTACTGTTTCAAATATTGATTTTTTTAATAATTATTTCAAATAATGATATGGAAAAATGTGCATAACTTTCTTTTAAAATACATTTTTTATCAAGGGAAATTTGTCGAGATTCCACTGTTAATAAAGCATATTTCCTGAGCACGGAAGTATTCCTCCGTGCAGAATTGATTCATTTCCTCTCAAGGCACAAAGTCGCTCAATCGCTATGTTTTTAATTTCAGCCTCTAATGTTCTGATTTATCATTTAGGTAATATTGGTCGTTGGCGGTCAAGCCCCGAAAGCTATTCGATCGGTTGAGTGTTATGACTTGACAACAGAGAGATGGACATCTTTGGCAGAGCTACCAACAAGGAGATGCCGAGCAGGTTTGGTTGTATTGGATGGGAGGGTGTATGCTGTGGGTGGTTTCAATGGCTCTTTGCGAGTGCGAACGGTTGATGTTTATGATGCAGAGCAGGATCACTGGACATCATGCCAGGGAATGGAGGCTCGAAGATCAACTCTTGGAGTTGCTGTCCTTGGAAATTATATCTATGCTGTAAGTGTCCTCTCTAGCTTCTTCTATTTATCATAACACTGAGAACTAAGATGTGGTTTTTTTTAAGGAAGTTGTGCTCCTGCCATACAAGCATTGCCAATTTGTTATGTGTTTAAATATTGTCTGCAAATATCCCTGAACAAGTCTCTCTGTAGTTTAGTTTTTGTCCCTAGGAGAATCCACAATCTTATGAAAATGTCCCATTATCAGGTATTGGAATAAGGAAGAGTGTTTCATGCAAATCCAACAAAAGTTTATGTACTTTCCATGCAATTTCTAATCATTTCCGTTTCTTTTAAGGAAAGTGTGTCCTTCTGGTTTTCCATTTGAATACCTTCACTTTTGCAAAAGCGGGCAAAATATTCTCTAAAACATTTTTTACCTAATTATAAAACAAGTATAAAAGACAAAAAAAAAAATGTCAACTGTTTCTGGCTTATGATTGGATACTGTTGCAACATTTAGAGCAGGATCTGATTTTTCCAGAGTCAGTTAAGAACCCAAAAAAAATGTATTACTTTGATTAATTGCATCGGTTTGTTCCAGGTTGGCGGATTTGATGGTTCAACTGGATTAAGTTCTGCAGAAAGATTTGATCCAAAAACCCAGGCGTGGAAAATGATTGCATCAATGTCAACGAGACGAAGTAGCGTAGGAGTAGGAGTGTTGAATAATTTATTGTATGCTGTAAGTCCCTTTCATCATCGTTACTAAGTACTAGAAAGTGAAGAATTGACCATTTTTTCTCTCCTCAAAAAATTTTCCATAGATCAAGTCAGTCTTTTTGCTCTTCTTTCTGTATTTTATCTTTTCTGTTTAAATTAATAACTGTCTTTAAGGAGGCCAAATTTCCAAGAAATGTCTGGTGAAATCCACAACAAGGATTAAAATTACTGTCAATCACTAATTTTTTTCATTTGCTATGCTATTGGTTCCCAGGTTGGAGGTTATGATGGTGCCTCTCGTACATGCCTTAGCTCTGTTGAGCGTTATAATCCGGAAGATGATACTTGGACCAATGTGAAAGACATGTCAGATAGGCGAAGTGGAGCTGGTGTAGGAGTTCTTGATGGTATACTCTATGCAGTTGGCGGTCATGATGGCCCCTCTGTGCGTAAAAGTGTAGAAGCATATAATGCTGAAACAAATACCTGGTCATTTGTCTCTGAAATGGCTCTATGTAGGCGTAATGCAGGTATGCTTTCAAATACTTTCTAAACGTTTTCTCTTATTATTGAGAGGTCGAATAATTTAACCTCGGAAGGTTCAACCATTAATAACATAAGAGCATGGTTATCCAAGTAGTAATCTATGAAGAGGGATGCACAAGTTTCAAGACTCAGACTACCATTTCTAGAGTTTTTTTCTTCAAACTTTTCGAGTTAGAAGGTCAAACTAAGAATAATTTGAAATCTTTGTACGAAATGTCAACCCTCTATAACCTCCTTTTAGCGCAAAGTGAACTTTTCCCTAGAGCTGTTTCAATATTTGATCAATTTCTAAAGGCCTTTTTTTCACCTATTTTTGATTGCAACCCCCCCCCCCTTCTTTCGAAGGGGGTGATAAAACTATTAAGTGTTTCAGCAACACATTATCTTGTCATAGCTGCTGGAAAACAATACTCAATATGTTTGAGTGTCTGAAAAGAAAAGTACCTACATTTAATCAGATTTCGAAGGCAAAAGCATCATTAGGAGAATGAATCTGTGTTATGTTGTAGTGTATTTCAATATTTGATTCTCAATCTATTTGACAAATAGAGTCAAAGCTCTGACTACTATTTCAATTTTGAAGTGTATGTTTTCTGATCATGTTTATTTTTTTCTGTTTTAGGCGTAGTTGCACTGAATGGGCTTTTGTATGTTGTTGGTGGAGATGATGGTACAAGTAATCTATCTTCAGTAGAGGTTTACAATCCTAAAACTGACCAGTGGTACATGCTAACCTCTTCAATGGGTATAGGCAGAAGTTATGCTGGCGTGGCAATAATAGACAAACCTGCACTCCTTTCGTGAGTCTTGAAGTCAACTCATCTCACGATCACAATTTTACATGTTTTCTTTGGTTACCTGTAATATTTTAGCTGTTGCCATTCTTAAGTTAGCATCTTTGGGGTTCAACATAGATACATTTCTGTTTATGTCTTTTATTATTTAAAGTTCCTTTATCGTAAACATTTTTTTTTTTTTTAAGAAATTTTAGACTGGGTTTGGTTCTTGAATCACAAAAGCCTTTTGAATTCCAGAAATTTACTGAGCAACTTTCAGCAGATAATTGTAGATTTTGAATTTTATAATTTAGTATCGCTTTGAATTTCATGGGGTCCTTTCAATCATTTTTTTTTATTTTATTTTTTATTCCTTCTCTCATGTATCTTTTTATGATCTGTTTTGATTAAAAATGAGAATAAGAACCACTTAACCTATTTAGACGATTTTTAGATTAAACATTCCAGGTGTAGCAAATTTTATTTTTATCTTTTGCACAGATTTACTTTTTTAATTTTTATTTACTTTCCTTAATTTCTTTTATTGCCCAAAAAATTACGAAATTTTGAACTAACCGGGTACAGTTAAATGGAGATCAGGTTTTTTTTGGGTGGTGTAATGATGTCATGAAGTACGAAACCGCATTTAGCTTTATAAACCAACCAATGGAATATATGTTTTAGAGGCAGCATTAACTTATTTAGGTTGGATCTGATTTTCTTTCTCCTCAGTCCTAAAAAACTCTCTTGAACAAATTATTTTTAACATTTAGCAATAACTTATTTTGTCTTTTTGAAAACTGCCCATTTTGTTTTAATCATGTTTTCCCCCTTGTTTTGAAGTGGTAGTTTCTGTTGGTGTTGATTTCAAGATTCATCAATCATTCTAACTGTGCTGTGTAAAATGCGAGGCTGATTGAAATTAATTTTTTTCTGAGAATTCTCTGCTCTTGAGTTTATACTATGTTATCTCAGTCTTTAGTTTTAAAGTTCATAAAAAATGACATGCAACCAGGCATTAATGATACCTGGTAAAGTACATTTTTTTAATTATGCAAGCAAGCCAAAATTAACCACTGGGAACAGTGCAAAAACGATAGCCAAAATTTAAAACTGTTTTCAAAAGTTGTTAGCCAAACATTGAGTTTATGTATGTTGCTCAAACTCTATGCTCAGAACAAATCAAGAATCGAAATTTCACTCTTATGGCCCAAATATTTTGAAAACTCATTTCATTAAACCAGGGGAATCCAGCTTTGATGACAACTCTCTTAAATGGGCCTGTTTGCACATGAGAGATACAGACAGTTGAGCACTCTGCTTTGAGGTAAAAGAGCATGAAAATTACATTTGAACATAAGAACTGTCTAAAATCTACTCCATATTGTATAATTTCTACATGGGTTTTTCAGATTCACCATGTCCGTTATCAGTATTTCCGAGTCCCCTGCTATCAGACTTTTCAAGAGAGAGAAAACCTTACCTGAATGAAGAAACAATATTGAATGGGGAGGGGGGGGGGGCTGAAAAGCGTCCTCATCTTAATAGTCAGGATTCCTGGCAAAATTTTAAAATAATTGTAGCAAATCAGTGTTCAGAAAATATTTACCTAAATCGACACCAAGAGGTCCGCAATCAGCCACTCATTGTCCAAAATACTGACCTCTGAAGGGCCCCTCCTCAAATAGTAGGAGTGGCTTGGAAAATAAATGCTCTCAATAATAACAGAGCCCTAAGAATTCGAATCTTACGGTCCTGTAGACCCTTGGGGCTTCGCTTGTGTGGCACAAGGAGACACTAACTTTCAAATTAAAAAAGACCTGGGTCCCTCCTGTACCCTATCAGCGAAACCATGGGACTATCAAATTCGGATTCTTTGGGGCTAATTACACAAGGGAGTATCTTTTTTCCAAACCTGCATGTTAACTTAGCCACCTACCAATCTCTTGAGGGGGGGCTATGCCTCACTTTTAGGGGGGGGGGGGTTTATATGAATAGGGATAAACCTATTGTGGACTTCCCGACTTCGATAAAATGGACCACTAGACAAGGTGCAAATTTCAGCATTTTGATACATGTTTCTTAACCAAAATTTTACGTAAAACACGATGCGCACAACGAAAATTACCAAAATCACATCTTTACGAAGATATTCAATGATTCTTGATGCGTGAATTCAAACCACCCACTCATGAAAACTCAATGCTCTACGTGATTCACATCGCGCGCAAAACGTTTATCATGACAGTCTCTGAGATATAAAAATCTGGCAACCTTGATCTTGACGCTTTGGCTCAGCTGTAGCAAATTGCTTATAGTTTGAACAACACATGGTGGGAAATGAACATTGCTCGATTGAGAAGCTTGCTGAAACCGTTGTAGTGCGCGATTTGACTCACGTAGAGCTTTGAGTTTCCTGTGAGCGGGCAGTTCAAATTCCTCGTAACCAAAAAATAAAAATGTTAATATCTCCGTTAGGAGTTGGTTTCAGTAATTTTCGTTGCGCGAATCGTGTTCTACGTGAAATTTTGGTTAAGTAACTTGTATCAGAATCCTTCAATTCGTACCTTGTCTAGTGGTCCATTATTTCGAAAATTTGCAAGGATCTTCCATTTTAACATCAGTTCTACCCCCTCCCGCAAGGGACACCCGATAATTCTTGGGGTCGATTCCCTTTTTGTTCCTGCGGTCCAAGACTTTGTCTTACTTGAAATGACTAAGAAAAAATCCTAGCATGAGCTATCGGGATCATCCTGTATAAATTCATTGCTATATTTTTTCTGTCAGTTATTTTTTTAATCAAAAATTGCATTGCCTCCTGCTTTTTGGCTTTCAAGCCATAATATCTACCACTGTAGGAACACAGAAGCCAAAAAATTATTCAAGAAGGGAACACACGGTCATGCAAGAATCACTATGTGCAGATGTTTTTCATCCGGTCAGGAGGTTTCGTTGGGGTTCAATATCTTTCTTCTTTTCCTCATGTGTTCTTCCTTTGCACATAGCAACTCTTCACTGTATCGTAACTATACTGCCGCATCAGCAGGAGGATTATCTACAACATTGCTGGAGGTCTAATATTATTCATTCCAAAAAATATTTAAAAATGTCAAATTATGTGAAATATATTCGGCCTCTCTAAAAGTCCACTTTTCATGTTTGTGTATCTCTTTGAGAAAATCTGATTGCTGATAACCTAGAAAAATTATCCTGGAAACGGTGATTTTGAAAAAGTGCGATATGCGAACTTCAGTTATTTATGATACGCTTAACATGACTTTTTTGTGATTTTACCTGTAAAAATCCACTCAGTTGCCTGTATCTTTTGTGTGTAACAGAGCGATTATAAAATGTTTTTGTATTACGATTAGTTTTAAATGAAACAGAAAGATAACTTATTGAATTTAATTCAACAGAAACAAACCAAACCGTTTAATTTAGTATGTGAGAAGTGAGACTTGTAATTTTGAAATTTGTTGTAGGCCTTATGATTCCAACGATGTTTAAACTTCAATTTAGGCTGTGACCTTTCAAAATACAATAATTTGTTGAGGTAGGGGCCGCCAATCATTGTTGAATCGGTGGAAAGAAGAATTGATTTAATTTATTAGTATGTGTCAAAATTGATTCGATTCCTCTTATGCAGAATTAAACTCTTGACCACAGCCCTGTGTAAAGTACTCCCACCCATTACCCAGAGTCTGAAGGTTGCCAAGTTGTAACACGTGACGGGAATACTTTACATGGGTTTCAATGAGAAAAATGATGATTTTTCACCACTATCCATCGACAATGCAGAGCTTTTGAAGTTGCATTTTCATCTTGTGAGAGTTTGGGATCATAATGCAGCTGTGTCTTAACACACAGTTGCAATCTAATTCTATGCTCTACAAATGAATCAGTGAGAACGGAAACACACCAACTTGAAAAAATGAAAATAATCGAGACACAAACAAAACTGCACAGTTGGTGAAGAAGTTAGTCCGAGAAAAAGATTTTTGGTGCAGAAAGACAAGTACTGAAGGACACTTGAAAGGTCCAAGTTGGAACCGATGCGCCAAGTTCAATGACCTGTATGAAAGTTGACTGTCTTTAATGAAAATTGAGCATTTTCGAGTTACCAAGTTGATGTGTTTTTGTTCCCACTGATTCAAATGTGCCTGAGCTAAAATTATTTGCTTGATATGGATTCTTGCTCCAAAAAACTGTGACATTTGTACATTCTTTGATCCTTTGTGATATTCTTCATAATGAATGCAATTAAACTGCAATGCATTTCTACTTCTACATGAACCCCTATGTTTCTGTTCTCTTCATCAGACCAGTTCTTTTTTGTATTTACAGTAACAAAGTAGAGAGAGTTTACCTCTCCCTGATAATCAATTTTTCTCACCTAACAATAATTTTTGCCTCCGGTAGAAGAATCAGATCTTGTGCTTTTTAGAAAGGAGGTTGCCTCATATTGCTGTTCAGTTTTCTCATGATTGTCAAGAGTTTGATTCTGTGTGGCTGAGGTCTCGTTTTTAGTCATTTAAGATTAGCGTGTTCCTCGCTACTTGGATATTAAAGGAATTTTAACATTGTGTTTTTGATTAATTATTTTTCTTCTAATGTCATGTTTTTCTATGTAATTTACTAAAAGTGCCTGAACATTTAGCCTTCTTTATTTAGCTAGTATGAGAATGGAGTTTGTGCCCATTAATGACTAAATTGTTTTTCTGATTAAAAATGGAACTGAGAATTAAGTTTTGTTTTTTCCAAATGTTGTAACAAATTTCCAGTAGGTATCATTCTTTATTTGTTCTTGCTTTTCAAAGTGATGGTATTTATAATAATCCTAGATAACTTAAGGAAAGAGTACATGGTATTTGAATTGTTAAAGCGGTTACACCTTGAGGAGCAAGTCAGTTTGTTCGGCAATGGTCTGCCAAGAAACACTCTCGTGTGTGCATTCCGATTGCTGCATTTGTGTTGAACCAGTAATCTCATTCCTCCTAACATTCGTCTTTTTTATCACAAATTAGGAGGAGCAATTTGTGGAGATGGCAGTTTTCCTGTGCTCTTTGAGCCTTCTGAATCATAGCTTAGCATTGCAGAACAGTCACTTGCAAAATCAAGGTGTAATTTTTTATTTAGTTATAATAAGTTTTTGTAGGCATCCGTGTAACTTCCTTCAAAATGAGAATTGATCATCAAATGTCCTAATAAGAGCTTCATTTTTCAACATGGTACGAGTTATAAATTATTTTACCTCCTTTTCTTCAAAGTCTGTGTTTTCCTCCTCAATTATTAGGCACTATTTCTCTGATCTTACTGAGCTCAAATCCATCTTCTCTAATTTTAGCATGTTCTATACAATTCGTTTTTGCAGTTTTGTTTTGCAACTTTTTACTTATAGGTCGCAAAATATACTAATCACCGGAACTATCAGCTGTAATAGAACTGCTTTTGAGGTTTTTGAATTGAAAAGAATCATAGTCAAGCTCAGATACGTTTTAAGTCAGCTTACCCATTCTAATCATTTGCCTTTTTAAAATTAGAACTTAGGGACTCCCACAAGGTGTAATATTACTTTAGATTCCTGAATTGTTTGCTGTTAATAGATTTAATTTTTTTCAACCAAACAAAATACTGGTATCATTTTCCTCAAGTGAAGGCTTCAGAAATCTTGAATAAGTAATGTAAAATGTGCATCATAAAAACTTTGAAATTAAACCAGGGTTGCTGACCGTCTGGAAAACTGGGAAAAGCAAGGAAAGTCAGAGAAATTTGTGACAATTGGGAAAACTTAGGGAATTTCTGACACATCTAGTAAATACTAAAACATCACCGATCTTCCGACTGCTTTTTTACATTTTCTGGTCAGTAAAGGCTTGTAGTCTTTTAACTAGCTACTGAATGCCTTTTTTCATAATTTGATTTCCAGGGAAATTTTGTCCAAGCTTAGCAAAAGTCAGCGTTTTTTTCTTTAAAGAAAAGAAAAAAAAATTGTGGAAATTTTGTTTGAAGGTCAGAGAAAGTCAGGGAAAAGCCAAAAAATGTCAGGGAATTTGAAGATGAGGAATTTATGGCAATAATCTTGTAAACGTTCTAATTTATCTGACACCCAAGAATGACTAAAACTTTGCAAGTTGAGTTCCTTGGAAAATCCTTGAAATTTGTGATTTGGAAGTCTCGCTCTCTAAACCACATAGAGGTCATTATTTGCACCAAATGACTGAACATGTAATTAACCCCCTCATGCTCTAACCACTTTATTTAGATGCATGGCTAACGTTGGAAAACGCCTACCTCCAATCATCACGACAAAGCTTTACTTATATTCAATTTTTTCTTTTTAAGAAAACATTTTGGAGTTCAGAAATGGTTTTTTTTTTTTTTTTTTTTTTTTTTTTTTAATTTACTGTAATTTGTTGAGACGGTTCTCTAAACCGCCTCTAAGCGGATTTTAGATATCTTGCTATGTAAACATTTTAACAATATTTTTGGAGATTTCAGGGGCTCTCTAATACATTTCATGGTCCAAATGACATTTTCAGTTTGGGTGAGCCATATACCAGGATTACGAATTTTATCCTCAGGTTTAAAATTCAACAGGACCCTGAGTGCTTCTCAAATTAACCAGAGGTTGAATAAGTAAATGTGACAAGAAGTCATGGAGCCGGGCCTTGTTCCTGAATGTCCACAGAAATTTTCAACTGATTATTTTGATCATGTGTTACTTTTAAAAAGAAAATCTAACATGATCGGAGATTTCCAATCTTTATTGCATTGGAGGTAGGTACTTATTTTCGACTTTCAGCTCACAATTGTAGCTCAGTGCAATGAGAACATTGAAATAAAATTGCGATTTATTGAACATCAAATTTTAAATTTGTTCTGCCATAAAACTGCATTATATTCACATCATTTAGTCAATTAATGCCGATTTTAAACAATCAACAAAGTGCGTTCCATGTATTAGAAAGATAAGGCAATATGCAGTACTATGAAAAATCGCAACCTCCTTCAATTTTATTGCAATAAACTGTAAACCAAGCGCCTTCAATCAGCAGATAGGCAACATACGCAACACTCAGTGCAATCTGTGCTTCTTGCGAGGCCATCGATTAATTTTACGCGATCAAATAACAAAATGTGCAGGAGGGTGCGCCAAAACAAATGAGGGGCTCGGAGGACAAGGGGCGTACCTAAGTGCAGTTTTTTTTTAAAAAAATGAGATATGATTGATTTCAAGTAAAACTAGTCTCAATGCATATTCTGTGAAAAATTCGCTCCCAAATTCCAATTTTCAAGCAACAAAAAATCAGTTCCAACTTTCTTTCCGCCATAAGGATCCGTGTAATTTCTAAACTTCAAACACGCGTTTCTCGAAATAGCCAATACTGCATTTGTGCGCCTTGTCCTCCGAGCCCCTCAAATTAGAGTAAAGTGCGGTTTCATGTCAAGAGAACTTTGACCCCTTTGAATGACGGCAGTGCCGGTGTTAGCCACTAGCCATTCCTCTCATCTCCAAAGGCTGCGAAGAGGGGTCTTTGCTCTTTAACCCCGCAATATCTGTACACGACATTAGACAATGGCATGACTCTTCACATCGCCTTCCTCAGCGCTCACACAGATATCACCGAGGTGTCTTGAAGAAGCGCCCCAAGAGGAAGGCCCATACGCTTTTCTGACTTCGTTGTGTTCGTTTCGTGTTCAGCTCCTGTGTCTCGTGATTTCGTGTTCAAAATGGTTCAAATTTGCTTGCTGGGTCTCGTTGAACGTGCTAGTGCTGAATTTCAACCGGAGCGCATCGCAAAATATTTCGATCGGCCTGAATTGACTATTTTCTACGAGCGGGTCGGGGCCCAGGTGAAGGCTCGCCAAAATTTTCAACTACAGCTTGGAATACAACTCCGGGCATTTAAGGGCCATTTGCGGGGTTTTGAGGACTTGAGATGGGATCGCGACTACAATCAATTCCGAATGGAAATTTCTACTCCGTGTGGACTTAAACAACGGATTATTCTGGTTGAAACCCGAGCCGGAGTATCACCTCTGAACGAGAAGCTCCATCAACAATTCTTCAACTCGACCGCTGGGTGAGTTTTTTTTTTTTTTTTTTTTTTTTTTTTTTTTTTTTTTTCATTTTCTGTCTATTTTCACTCGTGCGCTAAGGTGCGCATTCTTGATGAGAATTTTCTAGGTTTTGAAAATGGAATATTTTGCAAATAAATATTAAGTCTCAAGTAGCACAGCTTGCACTAAGTAGCAACTGCATAGTAAAAATATTGCAATTCCACTGAGTGTTGTGTATGTTGCCTAGCTCCTATTTGAAGGGGCCCCATGTATTGAAACTTAATGCAGTAAAATTGATATAAGTTGCAATTTTTCATCGTACCTATTGCATATTGCCTATCTCTCTGACACATGAAGCTCATTTTGTTGATTGTTTAAAATCGGCATAAATCGCCCTGGTAAAAATTGGCAGTAGAATGTGTGTTCCAAAATACTACAGATCTAAAGCCAGCTGTAAGATTTCCAATAGCTTCTGTAGCCGGCTGTACAATTTCTTATAGCTTTTTATAGCCGATGGCGATTAAGCAACAGCCAGACGATAAAGTTTATGCTAAACGTTACCTACTAAATACGGATACTATAGGACTTAGTTAGTTTTCGGAATACCGCTCTCTTTTTGTGCCGTAGTATCTTGATTTATTTTGCGAGGAAAGCTCCGTACTTTTGAAGGATGCCCGTCATTCTTAATATGTTGGAGCGCCTTCAATTTCTAATGATGCTGTGCAATACCTCTGGTGTGAAATAGTTGCCTCAGACGCCGTGGCACGCTGCGGCGCGACGGGCGGGCAGAGAGCGCGAAACGCGCATTGGCGCCTACAAACCTAACAGGGATACTTCACGCATTGCGCAATGCGTGATGTATCCCTGTTAGGTTTGTAGGCGCCAGTGCGTCGCCGCTCCGCTCTGTGTTAGGCTCTAATATTTAATCTCGAGGAGTCAGCGTTTTTTAACTCACTATTTTGAAATGTTTGTACTCTGTATGGACTATTCTCATTTTAATTGATTAAAAAAAAATGTTTTAGAGGAAAATATAATGTCTGTTTTGTGAATATTAAGGTAGTTCCGCATCAAACTTAATGATTTCCAAAGCACACGAATTTCTACACAATTTCTTATAGCCTTTTATAGCCAATGGCGATAAAGTGTAAAGCCCGGCGATAGGAACTATAGCCCGATTGTATACTTTTTTATAGCTTCGTATAGCCCGGCTATATGATTTGCTCCGCTTTCTACAGCCGGCTATATGATTTTCAATAGCCTTCTTTAGTCGGCTATAAGAACTCCTATGGTATTTTGAAACGCAGCTCGTATCGCCAATTTTTACCAGGGCGACTAAATGGTGTACTTTTGAATGGTAAAAAAAATTACAATTTCATTAAAATCAAATTGCATTTTAATTTCAATATTTGTGTTGCGCTGTGCTACTTGGGACATGAAAACAGTAGTGCTAATAATGATAGGTACGTGCTTCCGCCTTCCAGAAATGTATTTTGAAGCAGTTTTATTGTGGCGAGAGATACGTAAGGAGAATCAATAAGTTTCCGTTCCACTTTTATTTTCATTGCTCAATGACATACTGATTATCGAAGCCAAGGGTTATTATGAAAAAGTTGTTCATTTTTGTCGCTGATTGCTTAAATTGATACCTGCGGAGGTAAAATAGTTACTGGGGAGTTAAAATAGCTGGCCCGTATGGGCATACAAATTAAGCCGTCTTAATTTAATGGAGATATTGCATGCGTCACATGTGTGAGGAATTTGCGATTTGACTGTTGTTTCTTATGTACCTAAAAGTTCGCAAGAAACAAGATGGTACCACTGGTTTTCTCTGAAATCAACTGCCAATTAGCTCAAAAAAAACTCTCAAGTTAACAGGGGCGTAGCTAGGAAATTTCTCTGGGGGGGGGGG